TTAAACTCGAAGGAAATTAGATAGCGTCTAAAATTAAACTTTGCCGACAAATTGCGATGCAACAAAGTACAAAATTTTAATAAATAAGTAAATGGAAGGCGGGGTGGCTTCGAAATCCTCCCCGGGGTCATTGACCCATCGACCGGCCCCCTTTAGGGGGGTACACCTCCTTCCAGTTACCCCCTACCCCGACGACGTATTGAACCTTCGCGGATGTTATGTGTCTTTATATATTCAGAATGTCTTTTATATAGAACAGAAATTTAAAATGCACTGAAGCGCTTAAAACTTTTCAATTTTACTACATTTGTCCAGTAATTGATTACATAAGTTGCTATATAAGGTCGTAATTTAATATTACTTTTAGCAAGTGATCGATTCAACCCTTACACGTATAAGTACTGTCAGTGTAAATTGTATAAAATTATAACTTTTTATAAAAAGAAACTGACCTCAAAAGTTCGTGGAATCTATTTGCCAAGTTCAACCGGATTCATCCCCTAGTTTCCCACGATTAGAGGTGGAATAAGTTCTTTATATTTAAATGTGATCAATACTGAGGTACTCTCTTTCCAACAAAAAAAGAATAATCAAAATCGGTTCACAAATGCCAAAGCAATCACGTAACATATACTCACAAAAAATGCAGCCGAATTGAGAACCTCCTCCTTTCTCGGTAAATAAAGGGTTGTGTAATGTGTTAATTTGCCATAGGGAAGATGATTTGCTATATTAGTATACAATGTCTTGTTATAGAGAAAATAATTTGCAACAACAGTACACAGTGTCTTCCTATGGAGAAGGTAAGTTGTACAAGTATATAATACAGTCAAGGGCAAAAGTGTGTACCTAACGGTTTATTTTAAAATATGTATATTTAAGAGTATTTTATATAATAACATTAAATAATAATAAATATTAGACAATATCACATACGTTGTTCTGATGCCAAAGTAAGCAGCTAAAGCACTTGTGTTGTGGAAATCGGATACAACGACGGTACCACAAATACGGTACAACCCGACACAATATATAAAAGTTAGTTTTCTACATTGACCCGGTCGGGGTTCGAATCCGGGACCTCAGAGATGACGACAACATGAAAACCGGTTTGTAAGTAAACCGGGCAATTATTGCAAATATTTTGACACCTCAGGTTAGAGAATTCTCAAGTATTTAAATAATACATGACCCTTCTCTAAGTTATATTGAACTCTTTTTAATTTGTTGTAACCGAAATATTAGACACCTTTACATACATTGATAAGTACGAGTAACTAAAGCCTTTGTCTTATGGTAATCAGAAAAAAACGACGGTACCACAAACACATAGACCCGAGACAGTATAAAAAAGTTAGTTTCTATATTGACGTGGCCGGGGATCGAACCCGGGATCTCAGAGACGGCGACCACAGTAGTCGTCAAATGATTGGTTGGCATGTAAAAAACTAAACTACAAGTTATCCACTTAAGTAGAATGTAATTCTAAAGATCAGGGGGCCTACCACAACCTCTTAAAACAACCTTACATTGACTTTTCGTACCATAACGCGCTTAAAGTGAGCTTATTGTAATGTTAAAACTACGATGTTTTATTGGCAGCTTTGTGACTATTCATTCACTCAGTTCGTACTCTGACGCGACTTTAACATTAAAGTAATATTGCTCTTATGTCAAATTTAGCAATCTTATAATAGTTACACGGATGCAATGGAAACAATATTATTTTCAGGTTTATTGTCTTAATATTGATTTGTAATGATTAAAAGTTAAGTTGAACTTATTTATTTACATAAGTCTCTTCAATATTTTGTTTATTTTTTATTTAATAGCGCATAGGAAACAATTTCTCGCTAAATAAAACACGCGATGTTTATTTCGTAAAATGATGACATCTATATGCTCCTTGGCGAAACTAACACTTGACACTAGACTATAGTTCCGAATTCACAACGTGACTATCAAGACTCAGCTTGTTTTATTTATTTCTCTTCATGAAAATGCGGAAAAATGATTGAAAACAACGTAATTTTAATAGATTTTATTATTACGTACTTTTCTTTTTTAACAGTCAAAATTATCTGAATGTAAATAACATTAAGTACTTAATCATTGAACTAAGATAAGACGATTCGGAACATCAAAAAAGAAAGAGATGGCATTATATAGTTCACACATATGGTTATCTCTTTCTTATTTTTAGTAAGGAAAAGACAATACTGGGAAATCATTCGTTCTTTCAATCACTTTTGCAATAATACATTACTTGGTTGACAGCTTCGTCAACGTACGGATATGAGTAATATTATAATAAGCTTACTTTAAGCTTACATTGAAATAAGATTGTTTTTGGAAAGGTTACGGTAAGTTCCTGGAAAGGAATAAAAAGCAACATTCCGAAGTTAACGATCTTAGTTAAACAAAACTAATAGAAATACGTACAACTAAACTACGATAAAACTGAAGTTAGTAGACTGGCTGTAACTAAAGTTAGGAATGAAACTTAAAAAACATACGATCGTGCAACAAAGCAAAAATAATGAAGAGATAAGGCAGTTTTTTGCTAGATAAGAAATGCATTTTTATCCAGTTACGGGAAATAAAAAACATCGCCTCGGCGGAGAGACATCCTCCGACTTCGATTCCTAGTTTGGGAAATGAATTTTGCTTCTAAATTGCTTGTGATCTGTTTTGGAGTGTTACGGATTTTTTGTTGATTATATACACGTATACAAGAAAAACGCATTAATAAACATATTTTAAAATAAGCCGTTGGGTACATACTTTTGCCCTCGACTGTATTGTATACTTATGCAACATACCTTCAGGAAGACAAGACATTGTATAGTAGGTATTGTAGCAAATTATTTTGTCTATAACAAGACATTATTACTACTAATATAGCAAATCATCTTCTCTATGGCAAATTAACGCATTACACAACCCGTTATTTAACCGACTTCAAAAAAGGAGGAGTTCTCAATTCGACTGTATTTTTTTTAAAATATATATTACATGTTGTGATTTTCATGATTCTTTTTTTATGAAAGAGGGTACCTCAGTATTGGTCTCTTTTAAGTTTGAAGAAAATATTCCTATTCCACCTCTAAGGGTGGCAAACTAGGGGATGAACCCAGTTTTGCGTACTTTCTGGTAACCGATTTCAATATAACTTGGCAAATAGATGTAATTCCAAGCACTTTTGAGGTCGGATTTTTTAAAAGTTATTAATAATGCATCTGGCACATTATTATTATTAAAAACAGGGCAATGTATTTCCTGGTATATAAAATGTTCTATAAATATAAAAATACGACCACGTCGGCGATAGCGGGATGACTTAAGACTCCTTGTTAAAGGACTGGCCAGATATTGTCCAAGACCGAGAACAATGGGAAAAGAGGAGGAGACTTTTGACCAGCACTGGGACAGGAAAGGCTTATAAAAAAATATGCTTATGTAACATATTTAGTTAATAATCCCTTTCGGCGGTTTCAATAATCTATCACACCACTGCTAAGTAATTTTCATGAACAAAATATTACGATATTTTGACAAGAAACGCTTTTTATGCGTTATGAATGTAGATAACCCAGATAATTATTTATTTTTTTCATTTTATTTTTGGAAAACAAACAGTTTACAATTTGTGTACAGGATTATAGTACAAATAAGTTATCACTTAAACCAGCAAAGGTTCTACTAATAGACATAACTTAAAATATAATAATAACAAAGTGCTAAACAGCCCCAACAATTACCTGGTTTCAAACTAGACATTTCTCTCCGCTTTTTTTTTCAATTAAGTTCAATGTAATTTTGAATTAAAATACATTATGAATATGTATAAACTGCTGCGGTTTCCTATAGATAGATAAAATGGTCTTCCTGTTATCAACGGAAGTGATTTATGCAGGATGATTTTTGGGAAGACGGTGTTTAAAACGTTTAGCTATAACATATGTTTAAAACAATAAAATAATTGAGTTTTATTATTAAAATTTTTAGACTTTTACGCATTTCTTATTTAGTTTCCGAACTGCTTATATAATTTGGTGTAAGTAAGAAATAAGGGCGCCTTCAAATTAAACGCTTATAGAAGCCCTGCAGTGACGCTGTGGCGCTGCAGCTGCGGTGCTAATTTTCTTACAATATTGAAAAGCGCAGCTGCAGACTAGAATAAAATTGTGTATTTTTGCGTTTGGAGTGAGTAAATGTATAGCGTATGTATATAATGAGAAGGTTTATAGGCTATAGATGGCATCCAGGATTGAAAGGACCATAGCTTGGAGGGGCCAGGTGAAAGCACGTTGCATATCCAGCATTGACTTTATTATATTACAAATATTATTAGAGTTTTATAGATTACTTTAAATATAATGCCCGTACCTTCCTTCTTGCGTTTTTTAACCGATTTCAAAAAAGGAAGTGGTTCACAATTTGACAGTATTTTTTTACGCGATAACTCGGCATTTGTGAACCGATTTTGATGATTCTTTTTATGTTGGAAAGAGGGTACCTCAGTATTGATCCCATTTGAATTTGAAGGAAATATTCCACCTCTAAGGGTGGCAAACTAAGGTATCTGGTTTCGCGCACTTTTCGGTAACTGATTTTAATAAAACTTGGCAAATAGATGTAATTCCACGAACTCTCGAGATCGGTTTTTTTATAAAAAGTCATTTTGAACTCTTGACGACAGTTTTGAGTGAGTGAGAGGGAGGATAGTGTTGCCAGAATGTAAATGAATGCGTTTGAGTTGCGTCTTGGTATGCGATGAGAAAATAATTAAAAACAAACGTGATTAAGCAATAAATGTAATAAATAAAAATAAAGAGGGAACTGAAATAATGAATAATGGCGCAGCTATATTGTATTGAAACAGACGCACCACTGCAGAGCTTCTATAGGCGTTTAATTGAAAGCGCCTTAAGAGGTTAAAAACGAAAGATGCTACGGACAAACATACATACAGACAGACAAAATATTTGAATATTTACCTTGATGTCTTGTAAGACCTGTAAACAATTAGACATTGGTTAGTGTTATGTAAATCAATTGCAATATTATGGTTTATCTACATAGGTAATTTCAACATTTATATTATGGCTTGTCTACTAACAATATTTAGGTAAGACATAACTATTGTACTATATAGGGTTATTTGTATAATACTTATAAGCTCTCAGGACCACAGACAACAACTGTTGAAAATAAGTGTATTAAAGTTTTTTAACTTGTTTTACCTAAGGTTGGGACTTCCTAGTAGGTGTCATCAACTTGTATCAGGACTTTTGTTCCAGTACTTTTGATCATTCATTAGATTTTTACTTACTTATCCTTTTCACATATACAAACTTACATAATAGTTTTTATATCGTGTCAGAGAGGACAAAAACCCGCCAAACTACAACAGGGCCGCACAAACACATGTATGCCTATCTACTTATCATCACAATTAGATATACTAAAATACTTTAAAATTATTACTGGTACAAAAATCGAACAAACGTAAAAGAAAACCTTCTTTGATCCGACTGTACTCAAACCAGCGTCTGTTGCCTCAACGTGGCTAGTTCGAGCTTTGTATCAATAATAATAAACTAGTGGAATATTTTCACAAAAAAATGAATATCATGATAGTAAAAACATATCTAATATAGAAAATGAAACTATTTTTCCGAGTTTAAATCGCGTATATTTGTTTTTTTCAAACAAACCCACCCAGGATGCTGCGAGAGGCCACTGAAATTAAAAAACATCCTAATTTCAACAGGGAAGATGGTTTCTCCGTACCACCAGTTTGGGATCCAGTATTTCCTCTAATGAAAAATCCCAAACAGACATAAGACTGCAGTACTAATTAATATGTTTTAATTTATTCTAATTTCTATTATTATATAATAATAAATTGAACTTGATAAAAATTCATTCAATAAAATAATTTGTAAAACTTAATTTAGCGTAAATTGGAATGTTTTCTTTGTAAAATTAAAAATAAGGGATTTGATTAAAAACTATTGTAAATATAATGAAAAAATAGGGTGGTTTGCATCAATATTAGACATAACTGGTTGAAGACTGTACCACCTCAGTCAACCGTGACCATGGGGACCTGAAAGGACCCGAAACGTCAGTTTGTTTGAAAAAACAAATATACGCCATTTAAATCCGGAAAAATGGTTTCATTTCCTATGTGTAACAATCCCGAATACCTAAGAACTCGATATCATATTACTTTAAAAATTTTTTAAATTTATCTGAGATTATGTTATATTAATTTTTTTTATTAAATATTACTTTAGATACAGGGTAGTCACTGATGCCATACACTGTCAAAATGCGGCTAACTGACAAGCTCAAAATTGTCTATTTAAAAACAGTTTTGTTAAGGTGTCCAACATGTCGGAACTTATCTTAATGACGCATGACTAAAATACCATTACAAAATTTCAATATTCTATAATCCGCCCGATTATCCCTTTGTAACCCTTTAGAGTCGAAACCCTTGGCCCGCGGGGTCCCAATACGCTTCATTTTTACAAAATTTTATCATTGGCTGTCCTTATCATTAAAAAAAATTATAGACTGCCTGGGAATCCCAAGGGCCGGCAGCTATCTTGCCCAACGCATTAGCATAGCAATATAAAGGGTGTACGTTGCCAGCACCTTGGGCACCTTGCTGCGGGGACCCGATTTCATTCATATAATTACAGGTCTAGTATTTAAGGTTTTATTGTATTTTTATACCTTACCCGTCTAAATAAATAATATTCGAATTCTTAAAAAAATGGCTTATGGTTCCATCATTTTTGATATATTAAAAAAATTAAAAAACATTGATGTCTCTAAAAATTATTTCGTTATATAGAACTACATGACAAAATCATTTCATGCGTTAAAGTTAGTGAACTGGCTGTTCTTACACTTCAATGTAATAGCAAGCACTTAATTTTCCAATGTTACCATGTATTGGTCTAGGTGGCGATGTTTATTTGTTTCAAAAACAAGCAACAGTTTGTAGGTCAGCATTCAAGCAAAGTCGCTGTATAATGTTTGTTCTGGTGAACGTAAAGCGTTAAGGAAAGTATCGATCGTAGTAATCCCAGGGGTTGTTAACCGATTCGGGTGGAAGCACCCAAATAGATTTAGTAGGTATCTTGTTTCGGGAACAGTTTCTATCTTACGGTAGGTCGGGCACTCAATTCGGGAAAGTACAAGAAATCGGGAAAATAAAGCGACACCGAACAATGTTACGTGGCAGTTTTGAAGGTCAATGCTGCCGCGAAACATTGACAATAAACAAGATTGTTATTGTCTCAGAGAGTGACAGAGAGAGGGCTAGTAGAGGAAGAGCTAGATATCTTCCGGTAGGAATTTGGGAACTGGAGAGATGCCGTTCATTCGGCGTCGGCAAGTGAACGTACCTTACAGCTCCGCTACCAGTGAGGAGATTTGGTAGCCTCACCTAAGGTACTAGCCTTACACAGGACCGGATGAAGTACGTGCGAACGTACTAATTCGGGGGGAAAAATATGGAACTGTCCCAGAGCAAGGCGAACAAAACTAGAGATTTCACTGTCAGGGTCTGTAATTCAGTACATTTCAGTAGCTGTAGAAGCGTCTTGTGAAAGAGTTGGTCCAGGTATGTGCTGCCACCTTACCTATTTCTGCCGCTATTATTGTGTTCCGGTTTTGAAGGGTAAGGGTGCTGGTGAAATTACTGGCACATGGGACCTATCAACTTACGTCACCCTGAGGTGGCGGATGCATTAGCAGTGCCCTTCAACTGTACGCGATTTAAAGCTCTGAGTGGCACTGCAATTGTTATGAACAGGCGTGCAGCCACAGACCATATAAACGTGTTATCATCAGGCGTACAACTTGTTCGTCCCGTCACTTGATATTATTATATAAAAACTGACAGAGCGTAGCAGTAACATTTTTTGTCAATCGGGACTGGCTAAGGTCTCTAATATTCATACTGCACGATTTTATATTATATTTTTTCTTCAATAGTTTAATTTTCTGTCATCTTTTCGCGGGAAATGTGACATCTTTACGGTGGTCGTTTTGAAACTCCCACACTGACTTTTTTATTTTTCTATTTAGAGAAACTAACAGCTAGGTACATAGTAAATGTACCTAGCTGTTAGTTTCCCAGATTTGGCCAATTACAAATTGGCACAGATAAGATAACAGTTAAAGTTTTAATTAGAACTATACAAACTCCAGAGGAAAATATTAAAAAAAAGGTAAATTCTTATCTAGATTACTAATTGAGGGAAACAATAAAAGTACTGATTACAGAGTAGCCGCTTAAGTTGGTCTCGAGAACTATTGAAAAAGTCAAATTATGAAGGAATTTCGCTTAGTTTACTTTCGTCAAAAGAATATGGAGGATGCCGAAATGAAGCCACTTGAACGTTCAAACCAGTGTTTTTTTTATGACACCAAGTGACGGGACCAACGCACCTGATAATAATGACGCGCCTGTCCATAGCAGTTGCAGTGCCACTCAGAGTTTTAAATCGCAAACATTTGAGGGGCACTGTCACCCTAAGACGTAAGTTGACAATTCACATGTGCCTGTTATTTCACCAGCACCTTTTCCGTTCAAAACCGGAGCGCAATGTTGCTCACATTACTGCTTGAGGTAGAAAAATAGGTGACGTGGCAGAACTTCCTGGACGAACCCTTTCAGAAGGAGCTCTACTGCTAATAAATTACATAGGTACGTTGTATTTATACAAAACTGTATATTAGGTGTAGGTTGGTATTTATGAACTATATGCAAATATAAGAAAGCATTAAATGTAGACAATTTCATCAAAGTTGACAAGTTCCATGTAATTATTAATATTAATAAAGAACACTCACTCACTCTCGAACACTCAGAAAAAACACTCAGAAAAAATTCCTTCGATTCGAACCGACGTCTTCTTGCATACCGTGGCAGACGCTATACCAACTAAGCCACGGAACGAACCAACGGACCTTACGAATTCTTCTATGTGCTTGCGTCGTGTCTTTGTATTTGGTTTCTCAACGACTTTTTAGTCGTAGCAAGAAGACGTCGGTTCGAATCCGACCGGATCGAAGGAATTTTTTCTGAGTGTTCGATATTTGTATTAATAATTATAACAAACTAGTGGAGTAATTTCACAAAAAATAATTGAATATCAATTCAATAAAAATTTAATTAAGTTCCATGTAATTTCTAAACATTTTTGTAATTTCATCTGCACCCCCTTCGAAACATGCAATGCCCACATTTCTGCTTGGCGGCAGAAATAGGTAAGGTGGCAGTACTTCCCTGGGCGAACTATTTTACAAGAATCTGTATTGCTATTGATTGCGACTCTTTCTATCTTTACCGCATATAGTGGTGTCCCATGGCATTGTGTAATGGCAGCGGTAATAACTTACCACGTAAAGTAGTTTGAAAAGACTTTGAAAAATCCAATGCACGAAACTGACCCAGTTTTTACGCAAAGCATGACCGGCTCGGTAACCGCATAGCTCACGCAATCCCCACGGGTGACGGTTAACCGGAGTTCAAGGGCCGTCTGGCACGCGTCTCTCTGCCCACCCAACTATAACTCACCCGGGTTTATTTCACATGGATTTCACCCGGATTCTTTTCACCCGGATTTGTTGTATTTGGATTCCTTTTTTATGTGCATTGTGGCAGCAAATTACGAATGAAGAAACCAATGTAATATTTTTATGATCGTTCAAAATAGGAAATGAGAATATTATTTCGGATCTAACTTTCTACCATTCAGCTGAACCAATCGCGACCTTGGGGCCTGTAAAGGGCCCGAAACGTTACTTTCTTGGAATAAATAAATATACTCGATTTAGATTCGAAAATAATTGTTACTTTTTTATAAAAAAAAAAACCAACCTCTATAGTTGTTTGTGTTTTACAAAATGTTTTAGATACATACAAAAAAACACTTTCGAATTAAGAACCTCCGCGTTTTTTTTGAAGTCAGTTAAAAAAATAGTTTCT